CTACATTTTAACTTTATTTACTGCAAATTTACAGGGGTGTCCAATTCTGAAAACTTTGTTGTCTTGCTGCCTTATCAGACAATAACTTTGCAGGCAGCATTTGCACACGAAGGTATACAGGCCTACCTCATGAGACTGGTTTCGGACAGACTTCTGAGGCAGTATTACGGTTTTTAGTTCTCAATGGGGGCGGTAGGGGGGCGTTCAGAGGACAACGCGGGGCTTTGGCAAGATTGTTGAAAGGGGGGCGTTCTCGAGTTTACTACACCAAAGATCCAGGCAAGACAAGATTAAATATGTAATTACTTGCAAAATAGTTTGCTTGGATAGTTTCAAGATAGTTACAAATAATTAGCTAATATTACAATAATAATTTAATTGTTTATATGTTTATTCTTGTTAGAAGATATTTTTTAACACAAATTAGTCATGACAAACCAAATTCATTGTAATTGCCACTGCTGAAAACAAGCTGATACCAAGGCCTACACTTGTAGCATAATTTTTAATGAAAAATCATGATTGGAATTTTTTTCATCGAAAGTAAATTTAATTTAAGCAGCTTCTTCCAATACTCTCCTAAATGCGTAATAAAACCTAAGTGCAGACATTACCGCGCTTTAATGACCGACAGAGTTTTTACTGTCCAATAACAGCCCATCTTATATTTACTTTGAGTAGGAGAGAGTCGGAAGTTCATTTGTTGCCCCTACGAGTTTATAATAACATATTTTAAGAAGATTTCCAAAACGATAAAGCAAAAAAGAATGTCAAAATGTTTTTAAATGTTGGCTTTATTTTAAACATGTGAATAAACACATAGGCCTCATATGTCTATGTCTATTTATTTTTAAAATCTGCCTACTATTTATTAGTAATTCATTGTTCTATTCTAACATTTTTACATTTAACACAAATAACATTTAACATAAAACAAGAATTGCGAAAGGGATTCATAATGACGCAAAGGCTTGAATTTCCCGCAGAAATCCACCAGTCCCACTGGAATTAAAAACATTACAACTAAGCTTGCCGTTTTGAATCGAGCTAAGGCAAGCAGAGAGTTTTGAACACTGGCTAGTTATGTACTTGCTCAAAAATGTATTTCGGATAATTTTTAACCCAAAAAATTACGGACTGCAGCTTTAATGACTAGCAATTTCTCGGTATATGACATCACAAGTGGAAAACATTGATGAAAAATGTACATTTACACACAAACTGACGACCAGCCGCAACTTTCAGACGGCATCTTTATTTAGCTCAACTGTCACAGACTGGAAAGCACAGGATTCTGGGATATCAAAGAATGACGATGAAAATTACATCTGCTACCTTCAAAAATCGATCAGATGAAGGCATCTCAGGAGACAGGAATTACAAACATTGCATTCGGACGTTCCTTGATGCCTTCTGACCTTGGAATGTGTCCTGCGAAGGCAGCGTTTTTCAGTGTTTGGACGCAGCAAAGGTCTTACGAGGAATACTAGAAACTTTCAGGCAGGGGTTGAGGCAAGTTTTAGAGCTAAACTCTGCAGGACAGAGCACCTCAGGTGTAGGCTAATGCATTATGCACATTATAAATACTGCATTACATGGTTTTAATTAATGTGTTACAAAGAATTCTTTTAAATCACTATGAAGAAAAGAATATGAACCCATTCTGTTAAACAAGTGGACACACCACTGCACTCTATAATATCTGTGAAGCCGTGCTATATTGTTAGCAAAATCACAGTAACGACCATTGTATAACACACTTCAGCCGTTTCTACTGTCAAAAGCAATGATCAAAACAAAAACCTGCTGTCGCTTGATCAAAACGTACAGGGCATTGAATAATCCGCACAAACTGGAAATGTGTATTGTAAAAAGTAGTATGCTGAAAAGATTTGTATTCATCCCTCAAACCCAATCTCACCCCCTCACTGATGATATCCTCACATCCCGTTCCCTTCTTCATTCCTCTTTCAGCACACACAGTTTTGTAATCAGTGTAATCCCTCTTCTGCTTTATCTGAACATTCATGGTCTACAAATCACTGTGATGACCTCAACTGCTGCTCTGTCTTTCATAAATCACTCATCTCTCTGTTCAATCTTTCTCTCACTCTTTTCTTTTGCAGGAAGGTTCTTCAGCAAATGACAAATTCGTTTCAACTCTTTTCTCTTCCATCTTCACCCTCTTGGGTTTTAGTGCATATTTTTTTGCATATGAAATCTCAGGCGTGATGCATTCTTTCTATCTAATGATCTCGTTTAATCTGGTCTTTGGCTCTCATTCCTCTTCCCGCCGAGTCTCTCTGTGGTATATTCCTGGTCAGCAAAATGTCAGGCAGATCCTGCAGTCCCCCAGAGAGAGCCAAGCTGTTAATGAGGAGTGCGAGCCAGAGGCACACAGCAACGCCCTGCCAACTGAGCTCAGTTTTTCAGAAATACAGAGGAGGGGGAGAGAACAGAAAGAGAAGAGACTGGGAGATGTTGTGTTAAGAGAGGAAACAGTTTGAACTCATTGAGCAACAGATAGAAGGAGCTTGATGAAGTGTACAGAAGAGGACATGGACTTTAGGAGGAGCTTATAGCCTTTAAACATGAAACAGGATGCTGGATTTAAAGCGATAGTTTACTTTGAAATTAATTTTGGATATGTTTTAGCTTACCTCAAGGGTATCAAAGATGTAGGTGTCTTTGTTTCCACAGTAGTTTTAATTTTGATATTTTGAGGTCACAGTTCTTGTCTGTCAGTCATATAACGGAGGTCTATGGTCACCAACACAAAGAGCATGCAAAGAGAAGTCCAAATTAAACATGATTTAATGACTCGTAAATGTAAGTACACAGATGGCATAAGACATGAAATGAGCGGTTTGTGTGAGAAAATGAACAGTATGTATATCGTTCTTACCTCTTGTAATCACAGTCACGTCCAAGTGATCCGAGGGCGAGGGCGATAGCTTTCAAAAGGGGACGGGAAGTCATCCGACTCAGAGTGAGACTCTTAGGCGTCCTGGGTCACCGATGCTTTCAGTAGCTATTTCTTAGGCAATTGATGTGGTCAGTATAGCTATAGGTGTCTTATGCAGTCAATATTAATAATTTATGGTCTAATGCGCTCAGAGTAGCTATTGTAAGGAGTCAGGGGTTACCAACATAGTCAGGGTGGAGGTGAAGGGGGACACCTGGTTTAACTTAAGTCAGGTGTATAGGAGAAACCCACAACTCACGTTTTTTTTTTTTTTAATGTTTATTTATCTAAACAGCAATTATTGCACAGTGTTGACAATAAAAATATTTAAACATTGATTAAAAGATCAGAATAAAGTCATTATAGGGTTTTAGGGGTGCATTTAAACATTGCAGGAACATTAGGATGGAACATTCTGATAAAATCTTGCAGAAAATCAAAAGCACCATTACTTGCATTATAATAGTTTCTCAGGATGATGTCAGTCTGTAACATAATTGCATGCCTCCTCTGTGAAAAAACTTTGGCAGCAAGTTAGTTTTATGTATCAAAAGTGTTAAAACAGCAAACAATTAACTTAGAAATGGTCAAAAAATATTAAAATTAAATTTTGTTGTAATAACATTTGGTACAGGTCATTCTTGAAAACCCAGAGATGTAATTTCAGACTTGCATCAAACGTGAAGAATAGATACTACAATGTACCTGGTAAAATGTACCATTCTAATAGTGCTACAAACTATTAGAACAGGATTTAGGTCATAACGAGTTGAAAATTATGACATTTGTGAAACTACAGTCTGCAAAGTAGTACAAAAGAGTATTAATTGTATTATTGCATGACTACAGAAACCTGCAGAAGTTTAAAAAAAAAAATCAGATAACTTTCTCACATTCAAGTATTCATGCTCTACAGATGCTGGGAAAAGGACAGTGCACAGGATTCCTGGGGTGAGAATGAAAGGATAAAAAAAAAGCAATAGTGAAAAAGAAAGGGGAATCTGAAACAGGTGGCCAAGCAGCCCACTGAGAGAGACACTGTTGGACAGGAAACAGAATGAAAGAGAAAGAGAGAAAGCGAATGGATTTTTAAAACGACACATGAAATGGAGTGCAAAGACTGTTCTGTCCTGAACAGCCTCACACAGCAAACACACTCCTACGACAACCTGCCAGACAAATACAACGGAGTATTCTGAGAGACAGAAATGTGACATCCGTGTATGTTCAGTACCAAATGCACTGAAACAGATATTGGGATGGAATTACATTAAACAGCATTAATGCTCACAATACATATTTACCTCTTTAATGTTACACACTTTACCGTACAAATGTTTTAAGATGAGAAAGATGTTTTTAATTAATATTTTTATCAATCAGAGGCATAACATTTAACTAAAGTGAGAGTAAATAAAGGTATAATGTTACAAAAGATTTCAATTTCTTATAAATAAACTAAAAATAAACTTTCTATTTATTTAAATAACCCTGAAGAAAAGTGCATCACGGTATCCATAAAAATATTGAAACAATAATTCTTGAGCCTCAAATCAGCATATTAGAATCATTTATGAAGGACACTGAAGAATGGAGGGATGATGCTGAAAATTCAGCTTTGCCATTACCGGAATAAATTACATTTTAAAATAGATTCAAATAGAAATTTTAAAATGTAATAAAATGACACAATATTAGTGTTTTATGTAATAAATGCAACCTTAGTGAACTTAGGAAATCTTCCAGACCCAAAACATTTGACGGTAGTGTATTTCTGAGTGAAATAGGATATTCATCATCAAGAGAAGGACTTGATTGGTGGGTGAGCGTTACATACCAGTTAATCTGCCAGACAAAAAAGACTGACTAATAGCTATTTGGCTCTTGGTAAATATTGTTCAAGAGCACACACAACCGTGTTGTCAGAAAAGGAAAGCAGATTCTGTTTGGAACATGAAAAATTAGTTTGCAACCCAATTACTGTAATACACAATGCATTTCTGAATGAAAAATGACATTCACTAAGAAAAAAGCGTAAGGCTGCACTTCATTTTATCCACTGGGAACTGAATGTCTCATGAAAAGTAGCTGTTTCATACCAGAATGTTGACAGGCGAGATTTTAAAATAAGATGGATTGGTGGCATCAGCTGAAAAGAAAAGTCTCTTGTGAGAAGGTTGAAAGATTACAAATGCAAAAGTTTTCTTTGGAATGATGTGCTATGATGAACTGCGCATGATAAGACCGGAAACATGATTTGAGAAAGTAAAGGGGACAGGAAGAGGACAAAAAGAAAACTATTTCTCTACTAGGTCCTGCAGTCAGTTGCAATAAACTTCTTACGTTTTTTATAAACGCTATAAAAACAATCTTACAATCTGTGTGTTAAACTCAAAACCGTAGCCTATACTTTAAAAATCAAGACGGAAAAAGACTCATCTGGAGAAGTGCATAGGAAATAGGAATCTGTATCTTTTTGTCCCCTCATACACAATTTCACACGCTTAACGCACACACGTCAAGTCAAATAGGGCTGCATAGTTAAGACGAGTCCGCGAGTATAAATATCTCATATTGGCAATTGTGTGGGCATTGCAGGAAGTGACATCAGGAGCATTTCCAAACGCACACGGCCAGACTTCCCCCGAAGAACATGTAGAGCAGGTTCTTGACTTCATGGGTCACCTCGAACCCAAACCCCTCACCGATCACCACATGCCACGAACTGCCAAACTTCTTATCCATGGACTCCTTAATCATTTTGGCAGCATTCTGAAAATAGAGCGAACCAGCGAGAAAGAGAGCAAGATGAAAGCATGTAGGCTAGTAGAGCAGTCCAGATGGCCCGACTATGAGTGTGTGAAACGTCCTGACTCAGTACTAGACGGAAACCCAGAGCCCAACCCTACCTGTGTGACCTGGGAAGCACATTTATCTGAAAGCCTGTGCTTAATAACATTAACACACACAAACCTGACTGACCTCATTGTTAGAGGCAAATTTCTCACAGGCTGTGACGCAGAGCTCCATGGTCTCCACGCGCATCTCCTCTGCCATATCCGTGTGCTATAGAAAAGAAGAAAAAAAAACTAGATTATTTTCTGAGGCCCCTACATTATATTTATATAAATATAAGTAGCATAAGTATTTCCATAAGTAATATGAAGTATACATTGCAGTTCAAATGTTTTGGCTCAGTATGGTTTATTTTATTGTATTCATCGAGGACACATTAAATGTCAAAAGTGACAGTAAAGACTATTTCGACAAATGCAAATGTTCATACTAGTATGCTTTCTGAAGGATCATGTGACACTGAAGACTGGAGTAATGGTGCTAAAATTTTAGCTTTGATCACAGGAATAAATTACATTTGAAAATATAGTTGAATAAAAATGAGGTGCAGTATGTTCAGTTGACCAAGGCAGTGCAAAATATTAAGATTGTAAAAAAAAATGCATGATGGATAAAGATGTTGAACTTTTTTTTTAAGGATGAAAAAGGGAGCAGTTTGAATGATAACCCTAATACAGACAAACACAGACAGATGCATTCATAACTGGTTCTTTCTATCTAGGTCACAGCATCAGTCGAGCTGCACCCACCCTGATGAGCGGAAAGCTTTGCAGTCTTTTGTAGTCGGCATCCTCTTTTTTACCATCACCGGTTTCAGCCATCCTTTTCTTTACTAAAAAGAGAGAAAGAGAAACAGAGGGATTAGTGATGAAAAAAAAACAGAACATTAGGTCAAATCTCTCACCCCATTAAGTAACAAAAAATTGCAGAAGAGCAAAAATCGTATATTTTCAGCAAGGGAGAATGAAAAACATTTGTTTGTGAGCAAAATTACCAAATGACATTCATTATTTTGTGTTTTTAAGCAAAATGCCAACATTCTCTTGCGGGTTGACTGTTGTCATCAAATATGTAAATTTATAAAAAAAAACAAAAAAAAAACATTGAGGATAGAAACACTATTCTTAAATATATTGCTATTATTTATAAACCTCTTGGGAAACTTTGATAATGATTTTTGAAAATGAGTACCCCAACATCAAGTAAATAAATTAATAAAGGCCTTCTAAAGCAAAGCAATTAGTTTGTGTAAGAAAACATTCATATTTAAGACGCTAACGCTACAAAGTAAAATTCTAGCTTCCGGTGTGGTGAAGAGATGAGTCCCCCTGAAGAGATGAGTCCCACCTTAGGACCCAAGCGATCCGATTGGTTCAAAGCTAGTTTTATGGGTAAACGCTTTAGTGCCTGGTTACAAATTAGAGAAAATTAGTTTATTATAAGAGACGTTTGAAGTACGTTATAAGAAATCATTAATGTATTTTAACTTGTATGTTTCATATACTAGTATATAACCGAAGCTGTAGATTGTAAATTTAAACATTTCTCGTTCTTATTGTTTTTTAGTTTGCTTAGTAGCATAGCATTTATCCGCGGCAAACGTCAGAATGACTAGGCGAGTTAAGGCTGTTCCAGGCGGGCTAGTTAGATGTGCTGCTGATCCCTGGTTCTGACAACTCCGAAAACGTCAGAACAATGTTTTAAAAAGGCGCAATCTTTATAAATAAACCACAGATTTGAACTTTAAACAACTATATTCTCGACTTAAAATTACATTTCATGACACAATAAATGTCATATATTTTCTCCTCTGCTGTTGACGCAACCTACTATGAAAAGCGCTAAACAAATAAACGTATTACTTGAAAAGCGCTAAACAAACATTTAACTTGATGGCAACAAACTGCTTTTATCAAGTTATCGTGAGAACATATGAAGAGTTCAGATGCAAAAGCCTCTAAGTGCCATTTCAAATTTTCTTCTAAAATGATCATTTTTATCAAGCTTGTATATTTAAGTTCAGTAATTTCATTTAAATGGCAATGAAGATTACCTATTAATTGTCATTTAAGTGAAATTACTGAACTTAAATATACAAGCTTGATAAAAAAAATTGTCATTTTAGAAGAAAATTTCAAATGGCATTTAGAGGCTTTTGCATCTGAACTCTTCATATTTAGATCAGGCATACTACTGGCATACTATGGGGTCCTACGGTGGGACCCATCTCTTCACCACACCGGCCAAAAGCAGTATAATTGCGTCTAAACAGCAACTTACGCAACTTGTGATGTCGGAAGTAGCGTAGTGCGTTATGGAGTAGTGCATGTCACATTAATCGCATAAGTTGCGCTTTACACTTAAGTCGAATTCGTATGCTTGTTTGGCCGGAAGCTAGTTATTTTACTTTATAAAGTTTTAAATATTAATATTTTTTCTTATACAAACGGATCACTTCACTTCAGGAGGCGTTTATTAACCCCATGAGCAGTAAGGAGCATTTTTTATCATGGATAGATGCACTTTTATGGACTTCAAAAAAAGAAACGGCCATTCACAGCCATTATAAAGATGGGAAGAGCCAGGACATCCAAATCTACAAAATAGTGGATTACTCAGTAAATATACATCCATGACAAAATATTCGCTTCCATCACCATTTACGTTTGTCTTTCTTAAGACTTTTGTTTGTTTACATTTTTGAACATTTGAATATGGAAAGTTTCGGAAATTTGGTTGATTTGACATGGAATGGACCCCGTAGGAGTTTCACTGAAACAATATGTTAAAATATCTTAAAAACTGTTATCTTGAAAGTAGTGTGACAGTAGTGATTACTTTAAAACTTACAAATCTAAAACAATTTTAAAACAACCTTTTTTTTCTAACTGTATAACAGATAACTATTATTGTTCAGAGTTTTCAATACCTCATACTGAGAGATTACATGGAATATTTGTAGTTGTACAGCTTCATTTGTCAAACCACAAATCATTTAAAACAAACTACTAAGGCAAATTTAAAGTAGACATGAAACAGTTGTGATATTCTATTAGGGTTATATTTTGTCCATGGGAAATTAATTGAATGGTTGTAGTTTGCTATTGCTGTGATCTCATGTGAGTGACAGGTTGTCTCGCCCTCATGTCGTCAGATTTATTATGAATAACACTGCAATATTCCACAAAATAATAATAATAATAATAATAATAATTGTCAATTTAGATTTCTTGGTGACTTTAACTTCAAATTTTGAAGGACTCGGTGACCAGTTCTAATACAAACGTAAATGTATTTTAATCTAAAATCTTGATGTTAAAAAAGAAAAGTCAGCAAAAAGTTCGTAACGCGTAAACTGTTATTATCACGTGTTTTTTAAGTAACACAAATTGTTACCGTAAAAGTATTTTGCATTCATTGGACAAATACTTTCACTCTAAAGAACAGTCAACAGACAATTATTTAATCAGTTAAAGATGTTCACAGAATTGTTTAAAACTAATTATTAGAGAGAACGGTGAGAGTAGTCCCAAAACAGATTGCTTAAATAACAAACTGAACCAGTCTTACTAAATTCACACCAAGTTGTCGTAGCAGTCCAAGTAAAAAAAAAATAAAAACCGGCTAGTGCAAAATTACATGTTTTCAGTATTTAGTGCATTAACTTATAATGTAAAAGTAAATGAAAATTATACAAAAAACACGTGTCGAGTAAGCGTTTGTTTTTAGCATCTCTGAGCTAATGTTAGCTTGCTAACTCGACACCATGACTTAAAACGCTACGACAGATACATGACTGAAAACAATCGACAAATATAAGCATGTAAATCGTTTAAAGCTCTGAAATAGTTTATTTAACGTTACCACCACAGTTCAATAACGTACCGTTCTGTCGCGCTGAACACAGACACTTTCCTCCACTGGTGTTGTCATGGATACACACTGGCCTTGGCAACCTCCGACACACGTGACCTGTTTATTTCCGCCTCCGTCCGCTGAATTTCTTTTTATGCCATATGATTTTCGGACAGTAGCATTAACTTTTTTGTTGGTGTATTTCCATGGTACTCCAAGTCATATATCTAAGAATACCACAGTACTTTTTTTGCAAGTGGTGGCTCAGTGACAGTAAAAAAAAAACAAAATGTGTTTTTGTGTTAAACCATAGACTGTAAAAAAAAAAAAAAAAAAAAAAAAAAGATTAAAAGCTTTCATGGTTAAAACAGGGTCAGCCGGTTGGTATGCCACACATGTCAGTAAACCTTTTGTTATTTTGCTTATAATGGCATTAAAGCAGTTCAATCATGAATCATCTGTGAAAGAGGCGTAATCCCAGCGGGAATTATGACATTTTGGAGATTAAGGAAACTAGGTAATGTGGGACATCCACATTAGTGTTCTGCATTAATCTAACCAAAGTTCTGATCAGGATTGTTTAAAATGGCTCACACGTCTTTTATTATTTATTGGTCCATGTGCAGATGTTATTAAGCCTGGCTGCCATCACCGCCCACACCACCAACACAGATAACAGGATTTCATAACAGAGACTAGAGGTTAAAATAGGCTACCTCCTACACATCCTTCCCAAACTATTCACATCAACTCAAACTCAAAGCAGCAAACATAGTTGGAGATTCCCAGCTAAACATGTTAATACTTGATTTAAGATTAATCACATGAATATGGTTCTTAAACAAAGCATTTTCTTCTTGTGAAGAAGATTTTAGAACCAATGAGGTTCATTCTTGTGTTACACAGCACATTTGAGCTTTTGCAAGAACCAATTAGGTTCATTCTTGTCCCAGATAGCACAAGGCTGTTTGATGTCCTATACATCTGGAAGACGTATTTTTAAGAGCGTTTGCTCATCTGCAAGACGTTTCACAGGACGTTTGCTGTCAGGTGTCAAATAGACGTTTATGAGATGTTCATTACATCTTAGAGACATCTTCTAAACGTCTATTTGACATCTGCAGGAAACGTCCTATAGACGTCTTGCAGATGAGCAAACACTCTTAAAAATACGTCTTCCAGATGTAAATAGGACATCAAACAGTCTTGTGCTATCTGGGGTGTAACGTGGTTTAACAGGAACAGCAAGTACACTGTTAAAATACATGTATTGCTTGTTAGAATTCACCCAAAATGGTTTATTTGCAGATATACCTGCCTGATTGGGATAACATTTTCCCCTTTAATTGATGTGATGTCATAAACTAACATCATTTCCTGTTCTGTCTCCTCCTCTTCCTCTTTGCATTGGTGATGCGCTGGAGATTATTTTGGGCTCCTGATAATATTATTTAATATATATTGTATTCACTCTAATTTTTGTATTATTTTACTTATCAGTCATTTTACTCTTTTTGAGCAATGATTGTCTTATAACACTAGAAAACTAGACATTTTGCGTGTACAATTACATTCAGTCAATATGTACAAGGATGAATGGGACTAATAAACAGATATAGAGCACAGCCTCTCAAAAACATTACATTCTCTCACATCATGGATATTTGTACATCCCCTACTTCTGTAAAAAAAAAAAAAAACTGAACAAAAACAACACGGCGAGAGAGATGAAAGAGTACACTGCCTTTGTTGTGCTATATATATTTTATTCTCATTGCCATCTTAGATATTAACGCATTTTTATCTCAATTTCAACACAAAGACACAGACAGAATTCAAGAAATGAACATTAAGACAGAAGAGAGATTAGAAAAATGTAAATGAGTAAATCCTTTGTGTAGAAAAATGTTCAAGCAAAAAGAGAGAACTTTACATCCAACTTCCAAGACATTTCTTCACTCAAAAACAAATATATTCCAGAAAAGGTAACAGTATTTAGCAATCATTTGTAAACCACTCTTTCTGAATACAATTCAAAGCTTGTTCATGTACAAATTTACCATCACAAAATGACCACTGAAATGCAAACAAACAGGCATTACACTAACAATAGCAAGTACACTATACATCAGAAAGAAAATATATTTAGTGCTGAAAACATTATGATGATCATGTGCAGTTCAATTATGGCCACGGAATCTCAAAACACATGCCAATAAAAACAACTGCAACACACAAAATGACATCCATAATCTCAGTTTTGTGTGTCCGTATGTATGTCTTGTCTGATTGCACATTTGGGACAGCATTCTTGTGTTTGACAAGGCCACAAAATAGGCCTTTTTCAGCCTGCTGCATTTTACATAGAAACTATATTGAGTATAATCCACATAAAGCATATCATATTTGTGATGTAATTTACATAAGCTTTTTATCAAGAGATCTCTATTCAGTCACAGTTGAAGTCGAGACAGGGGGGATGGTGGGATATACATGTGGTGTAAATAATATACATTAATCATACGGAATGTTTGTTGCTTATTTTACAAATATAATTTTGAGTAGATTTTTTTTATTTTTATAAATCTATATATGCTAGGCTATATTTGCTCATTTCTCAGCATGAGAAGATATTTGTTTGTCTGTGGATATTTGCAGATTACATTGAACAGGAACACTGAAAACAGCATGTCATTGCAGATGCCACATTATAAAGGGTTTCAAAACTATGGCTTTAAAGGTTAATTAATAGCTATTCGTTGAAATATTGCTGAAGTATTCATCTGGCCAAATGCCTTCTTAAACAGCTCATGTTTCTGTCGTTCGTTCTAATTCGACGTGAATCTGATGATGTTAAAGGGTTTTTAATGGAGGAGAATTCAGGACTGGCCTGACCAATAGGATTCAGCCTGTTAGAGTGATCACCATAGAAACAGTGTGATTCAAAAACATCAAAAAAAAAAAAAAACTTGAATAGATCAAACATACAAAAAAACCTAGTATAAAAAATGGCAGAGTGAAAGCAAACAAATTCCCAGCAGTTTGTGTGTGTGTTTTTCAAATCTAATCTCAATCAAATAGGCTACATTGCATAAATAACAACAAATCTGAAAGAGTATGCAAACTTTGAACTACGGTAAAAAATAAATCCTTTTATCAAGTACTGAGACTGAAGATCGAACATCAAATAATGTTTGCCACTAGTACAAAAAATTTCAATAACTTAAAACATTCTCATGCAAAACCCACCCCATGATGCTAAGGTTTTGCTAGGGCATTGCTATGCGTTTGCCAGAATGGTCTTTAGTATATTGCTAAGGTGGTTGCTAGGACATTGGTAAGTGGTAAAGAGCCAATAATATTGGATAAGATAATCTGGTCCCTAGATATGGTCGAATTTGGCCGAAAATTTCCCAGACTCCAAAATTCGCAAACAGTATGTAAAGAATAGCTCACAAGTCACTTTCAAACCAAGAAGCTTTCTTTTGGTCAATGGTCACATCATGACCAATTTAAATAATTCGCCTGGATTCCTTTTAAAAAGACTGTATTTCATTTGCGAAAATTCACCAAACAACAGTAAATGTGACTCAGTAAATCTATAGAATATTTGCACCCATTTTTTATCATCCACCAAGTGAATTTTTTTTGGCTTGCTTAAAAAATAAGAGCACACTCTTCCTCAACAAGTCACACAATTTGAGGTATCATTCTTGTTTGTAGCACAAATGGTGTGGGTCGAGCTATATGCGCTGAAATTTAACACTACGGGTTAGGGGTTTGTTCAAAACACTAACCCTGAGCTGTAATGATAGTGAGGCTTGTTTCAGCAAACACCACTAATAAAAACCTTTGCCTTGAAATCAACATACATATCTGATGGTGGCTTGGGTTTCTGATGAATCTTTTCTGAAACCATCTCTGACACTTTAAACAACCCCTCAGTCGTCCATCACTGTATGGCACTGGTGCGATGCTGGCAATGTTCGGCCGGTTGCTTGGTGACGCCTCCGAAAACCTCTACCTCACGGCTGGTCCACGGGACTACGTTACCCAGCATCCCTGTGCTGCAGTGCGCAAGAGCAGAGAGCTCTACGTGTGAAAGTGGCCGGTCCCACACATTAAACTGAGACAGCTCTCCCACCATAGCCCGCGACACCTCGAAACGAAGACCGCCCATTGAGCTCTGCAGGAGACAGGAAATCATATTCAAAATACAATCATTTTTTTTTTTAATTATTGTAAAAAAAAAATCATATTAGAAATTCTAAATATTCTTTGAAATGAAATTTTTATATATATATATATATATATATATATATATATGAAGAGTTCAGATGCAAAAGCCTCTAAGTGCCATTTGAAATTTTCTTCTAGAATGATCATTTTTATCAAGCTTGTATATTTAAGTTCAGTGATTTCACAAATGGCAATGATAATTACCTATTAATTGTTATTTAAGTGAAATTACTGAACTTAAATATACAAGTTTGACAAAAATCATCATTAAAGAAGAAAATTTCAAATGGCATTTAGAGGCTTTTGCATCTGAACTCTTCATATATATATATATATATATATATATATATATATGGGGCTTTTTGTGTGTTTTTTGTAAAACTTTTTTATTTTATTTAATTATTTTTATTAAATATAATTATTATTATTGTTTTAATTATTGTAAAAAAAATCATATTAGAAATTCTAAATATTCTTTGAAATATATATATATGAAGAGTTCAGATGCAAAAGCCTCTAAATGCCATTTGAAATTTTCATCTTTAATGATGATTTTTTAACTTGTATATTTAAGTTCAGTAATTTCACTTAAATAACAATTAATAGGTAATTATCATTGCCATTTAAGTGAAATTACTGAACTTAAATATACAAGCTTGATAAAAATGATCATTCTAGAAGAAAATTTCAAATGGCATTTAGAGGCTTTTGCATCTGAACTCTTCATATATATATATATATATATATACAGTATATATATATATATATATATATATATATATATATATGGGGCTTTTGTGTGTTTTTTGTAAAACGTTTTTTATTTGATTTAATTATTTTTTATTAAATTATTTATTTATTCTTCAGAAGCAATCATTGCAACAGATAAATTTTAAACAAACTTAAGAAGCAACATTCAGTGAGACGATGAAAAAATGTTAGTGTTATAACTTATCAGTGTAAAATCTGATGGTGTAAAAACCGATAACACAGTTTTGTTGTTGTTGTTGTCCAAAATTGCATTTAAACTTCATCCGGCCCTAAAAGCATCAAAAGAACATTTGACATTTGTCCCTTTCTGAGACTGAGAGAACTGATTAGATGAGGACCTTTTTAGTTTTAGCTCCAGTGATAATAAAACATTTGCCTCATAAAAATGTGATAATACCATTTCAGTGAACCCTTTTAGGTGTCTTATGCTCCAACACAGTCTCATGAAAGTGCGTATCTATACCACGATTGTCATTTCTCGTGGCATTTATACGCCAAAAATGTTTTTTGCGTGCATATGCTACGCACTGAAAACCCCTTGGGTAGGTTTAGGGGGAAGGGGGGTGGGGAGTTCGTACTTATTATACGCCAAAAAGTGCGTATCATATGCACAGGAAAAACGCATACCATATACACGCAAAAACTAGTTTTGGCGTATAAATGGCACGTGTCACAGTCTTCGTCTTCACCTGTTTGTCTCGTCATCTGCACCACGCTTCCCCGGATCCTTTTGTTTCCTCTCCTGATCTCACTCCCTCATCAGCCACCTGTTCCTCGTCAGTTCGTCATCATTTTCACCTGTTTGCACTCCATTTAGTTTGATTCCTCTGTCTATTTAGTTCCATCTTATTCAGTCTGTCTTGGTCAGTCGATGTTTGATGTTACCCGATGTGTGCTCCTGTTCCCCTGCCTTCCTGCCTGTATGTTCCAATAAATTCGTATATGGATGTTAACCTGGATTCCTCCCGCTCCTTCTACCCGCACTCCTGCACCCCTGCACCACACCCCGTGACAGCACGAGAAATGACATTCGTGCTATAGATACGAACTTTCATGAGATCAGGCTCCAATATCAAAAAATGGTCCCAGACACATTCACAAATGTATAAAACTCTGCATAGCCAAGGATACTAAAACTGCCCCGTTTGTATCATCTCAGAAAATTCCCAGAAGAATTCCATGTTAAATGAACACATGGAAACATGTTTTTAGAAAACAAGGTTTCCTTTATATATATATATATATATATATATATATATTTTATGACAGTCAGTCCACAGCTTAAAGGGATACTTCAGAATTTAGCATTAAGCTTTGTATTAGTAGAAAACCTGTAGTATTTTCAAATTACCGTGCTTTCCACTCTCATATCCATCTGAGAAGAGAGATTTTTGTCATTTTTTGTCTGGAAAAAATCCTCCGATGACGCAAAAATCGCTATTTTGCGTCATCGTAGGATTATTTGGCTAGAGGCTAAAGACTACAGTCAGTAGTAGGTAGGGGCTGTCCCGCATGTTTTCAACTCGCCCATAAAGGGTGGGATCTCACTCACAGAATGAACACATAGTGTCAGCCATCTTTTATGGAAGATAAGCTATAGCAGGCTCTTGTTCTGTGGAGAAAGCGGAGTAGTAACGTTAGGGGTTACCATTCATCCTCTTTTTCCCAGACATGTCCGGCCGTCGATGTCCGCGATTCAGCTTTTGCTTTCTGCAGTCGACATTCAAAGTTTATTTGCACACCTTTTGTTTCAATCTACATTTAGATTCACCAATTGGAATGAATGTAGTGTTTACATGAACGCTAAACAAGTAATCGGTTGATGTGCATGTTAACATTGCTAATAAAATTCCCGCTCCTCTGTGAGAGAAACGAGACCGGTGTCTCACAGGTGTTGCTCATCGGTAATCACGCCACCAACCTCGCGTCATTCTCCCGCGGCCCCCAGTCTCGTCCTGCTCGCCACAGTAAACATAACGAATGGCGACTGTAGAACGCAAAAGCCGAATCCCTGACATTTTGGGCAATCTCGAAATCCCGAGCAGACTCATCACGGAGACTCACTAGTAGCCTAGACTTGTTGTTTAACTGTGCTCCTTTACCGTTTCTAGATCAGCGAAGAAAGTGCATTCTGGGAGTTGTCTTTCATCCACATAAGCCAAAAATACATTTTCTGGCTTTTCAGTCTATAAAGTTCAAAATTCAAAAATAATTTCACATTTCTTCTACATAAATGACCCCTTTTAAATACACATTCATCTTTCCAGATGTGAAGTATCCCTTAAAGCACAACCTTAGACTACAACATAGACCAGAGAATGATTTTAATGTAAGGTATGCAGGAGTTTAATGAAAGAGGGATGAAGAGTGCAGGACAAGGTAAAGGAAAAGATAAACAAACATAATGAGTTTTACAGTATGTACAGAGTGAATCCTAAATGCTGCTCATCTTGACCTGTCACCATCTGGCAACCAGTTACAAGAGCCAAAGTCTGACGTACCTGTTCTTGGCCAAGCATGAGGGTTCCTCCCCGTCGGATGCTGTGACGGGTTGCCAGGCCACTTCCTTCACTCTTTAGCTTGCCCCCTAGGTAGGCATGCCACGCTCCAGCTCTCCGGTTCCAGCTCACACACATATGCTGCCATCTGCCCACTGTTAAGTTGAGAGGTATCAGCGCCACCTAAAGGATGGAGGATCCAAAAAAGAAAATCCCAAATTACAAACCAAAGACTGATCCTGTGGTCCATGTGCTTAGATAATTGAGACCAGCCTGAAAGCCTGAGAGATTATCTTACTGTCCACTATTACAGCTCTGAAAAACACACAGGCAAAAAAATTCCATTGATGTAACATTCCGTAAGAGCTGTCAGAGGTCAATCTAAGCATCTGTTCATCTTTTACCAAAAACATCCCTTAAAATCCTAATTTTTTCCAGCTTATGACGGATAAAAACATTGACAACCAATCAGAACCCGAGCTTGAGCATTTAAAGCGGCAGGTTTGGATCGTTATTGCTATATTCATAGTTATAGTTCTTGGTGAGAATGGCTCTGAACTAATTAATATGGGTCTGATCAGTCCCAGTTGTGTTATGTTCCATTGATGATTCAAGTCAATACGTTTTAGATTCCAGTACAGATTTGAGTCAGTGATCAGGTATCAGTGGCGTGACCAAATATATTATAGTCTAAGGGGCTTTTACACAGAACCTTTTTGGATTCCACTGCACTGCTTTTTATTGCTTTTTAAGTCTAAACATGCACTAGATGCTTACAATTTAAAAGCACAGAAAATACCTAGTCAGGTACATTCAAGTCTTTCGGCAAATGACAGTCAGTTCTGTCAATGGATCACACAAGTGAATTATTTTGCTAAGGCAGATGTTCACTATATTTAAAAAAAAAAACAGAGTTACCAGAACTACCGATTTAACGGCGTTGAACAACAAATTGGTTTAAGGAACCAACATCAGAATCAGAATCGTTAAAAGCATCTGTCAAATATCATGGTGTGTTGCGCTACCTCATTATTAATGATGAGCTCAATGGGCCCATGAACCAACTGCTGAAGCACAAACTCATGGCTCTGGTCAGAAACAGCATAAGAAACTGTTGTTCCCAAGATGCTCTTTCCAGGTTTGAGCCACATGCAGACAGTCAGAGTGTGGAGAACAGGGATTTCCTGCTTTATGATAGCATACATGGAAGCGCTCCGTACAGGAAATGAGAGCCTGTAACCCTCTGGAAACTTGTTCTCAGAGACACCTGTGAAAAAAAAAAAGTGAGAAATCAAATGAAAGGCAAAGAGTGCATTGAATTACTTTGCCACTTCGACTCGGCGCATATATAGCCTATCTATGGACTCGGCGCAGTAATATCATCACTCCGGAGAGTGAGAGGACTTTTCACGAGTGATGATGATACTGCGCCAAGTCGAAGTGCTGTGGTGTGGTATTCCGCCATAAATATATATCCACTTTACACTCTTAGAAAAGTGCAACGTTTTATTTTGTGTCACCGTCCTAGGTCAAGTTCCACTGCTTGAGTAACTGTATTAAGGAAATAACAGTTCAAAATGAAAAAGTAGTGGAGTATTCCTGGGCAGGTTCAATACAATTTAACCTCTGTTGACAGTGTGTTAATCTATCTGTGGTGATTATCAGAACATTAGTTTTGACTCATTGCAAAATGATTTCCATTGTAATACACTTACAATGGAAATCTAGAAAAAAAAAAAGTTTTATATGTAAAAGAAAATTATCTCGTCATCTTCTCAATCTCATGTTGTTCCAAAACTTTAAAGAAGGTACTTTGGAGAACACTGGGAGCCAAACAACATTAGACCCCAATGACTTCCATTGTATTGAAAAATGGTATACATATTTCTTTTCGATTCTTGAAATATCTTTTTAGGTTTCACAGGTGAAAGAAAGCAACAAAACCTGAGGGCGAGTGAATGATGGCAGGTTCATTTTTTTGATCGAACTATATCTCTGTAAGTTTTTGTCAGATCAGTCTTTTAAAATCAATATTTCTTCCAGCAGTAAATCCGACCTCTTCCTTACCTTTCTCCAGAGTGCTTATCCGTTGGTGTACAGTGTCCAGTCCATAATCAATATCCTCCTGATGTTTCTGTGTCTCTTTGCGCAGAGCTTTCCTCTCTTCCTCCAGCAGTTTTATCTTTCTCTTCAGTTGTCCTTCCAGATCCTCCACTCGTCTCTGTGCAGCTGCCACTGGTGTACGGGCAGCGCTAGAGGCAGCACCTGCTGCTTTCTGTGAGCTTGAGTCTGAATGATTGAACGCTGGCACTGCCATTTCAGACTGAAAAAAGACAGTCAGTCATTTTTTCACTGTGTGATGTAATGTAGCAACCTCATCTATCAATATTACGTGAATGCAATGTGAATGCATTTAACAAACTACTCATTCTTATTACTCAAAATGCAATTATTAACCTCCTTTCAAGAGTAAATTATGCATCTTATCTCCCGAACAAATGAAACACTGCCTAAATTCAAGATTGAATAATACATCATGTCATATTAATGATTAATTAAACAGAATCATATTTTAAAGCAAATAATGCATCCCTTGATGGGGCTTCTTGCAAGTATGAGAGAGGTTGGATGTGTAATGAGACCAATTTCAATTTCCCAATACTTGCATGGAAATAACAAGTTCATTTCTACTCTATTATGATGGGATCATTACAAAGGCATCTGCACCCTAGAGCTCCCAATCACAGCTGCAGGAGTCCATAATATGCTTTCAGTGAAGTGTGTCATGTTTCTCATCTCTCCCCTGCTGTCACACATGCTGGAGTCACTGATAAACTCAGGCTCCTTGCTTTTTAAACATACATTCTTCAGTATATCTGCTGTTTACCCTTTATTTTTCTTTGGTATGTAAATAGGCTGCTGTTTAACTGCTCCTTCAAGCAGGCTATATCTAGATATAAGACTGATAGATTTGGGTTAGATCGAGGTTAATCAGATGCTAAAATGTGGTCCTGATGAGGATGTAATTTGTTGTTCCCATCGGCTCGTAAAGCATGAAATCGACTCACTTTAGCCCATGTTTCCATCGAACCCCAATCAGAGACGCGCATCTTGGCGCACAGCGATAAATCAAGGCACAGGCGCACGATCGTACGTGAGCTGAAACGCAATTCAAGACTCGCGGAGGGATAAACTTTACAAGCACACTGCAGCACCTATTCTTACATGTTCAAAACAGGTTGCTATAGCCTACTAATAGCGTTTATCAACAGGTCAGAAAGTAGCCATCTAGCACCAGCTCATTCAAAATACTTTTGAATGACCATTGTTTATATTAAATGACTGAAATGTATGCTATTGTTTTTTTAAACAAAAATTAGCATGCAATAGAAGATATTTTGCTTAAAAGCCTATAATTTATATTTGAGAAAAGTTTTTTCCAGCCATTTCAAAGACAGTGTGACGTAACATGCAAGAAACGATTTTGTTGTCATGTGACTTTAATCATTACGTTTTTAATTTTGAACTAATTTATAAAAGCCACGATTAGGCTACTGACAGCAGATTCACGCCTGAAAAATGTAATTTTACAGATATTTTATCCTTAAATGTTCTTTTTTTTTTAAACAGCAGCATTTATTTTTTGGAAAATAATATCCAAGAACAGTAGCCTATTTAAGCCTACCTTTAGGGCCTACGCTTTTTTTCTCGCCTACTTACATATAAGTATGTCATAGGCTATTCTATAGGCCAATTTATTTGTTTTATTATTATTATTATTATTATTATTATTTTACAAATATGTGGAATCAACATGACTGCTACATTAATACAAACTAAATTTTCTATTTCATAAGCTATATGTCCCATTCTTAACATCTATTATCATTTAACTTGATTCTCAGCCACAATAAATAGCCTATCTTACAAGATCTTACGGTTTTCTTACCTCCAGTTTCTCAATGCGGTCTTTCATTTGAGTTATGGCATACCCCAGCTCCTCCACCGCATGAGCCGTCCGCACTGAGGATCCCGCATCGTCCCGCATCATGAGTTGCTCCTTATTGTCTTTTCGCGCATCCCCAAGTCCAGCGCTCCGTTCCGGGACCTTCCGTCCCTTCAAGCCACTCTCGCATTCCGAAAGCTTTACCGTTAGCTCCCGTATAGTTCTCTGATCGGTGAGGATCTCATCTTTCTGCTGTAGGACGGTCTGTCGGAGCTCCTCGGCGGTGGTGCGGAGGTACCCCCAGTCCTCTCCCGCGTATAACGACTGGTCGTCCGCTTGTTGCTGAAAGTTTTTCGGGTTGCACTCACCGGCGGGGACAGGGGTGCAGATGAGTCTGCTGTAGGTGACCTGTTGTTCGCTTCCACCGGTCCCTAGTCCCGTCAAACCGTAGAATGTTGGCGCCTCCGGTCCCCCTCGTTCTCTGCTTGTCGCATCAGTGCCGTGGAGAGCGTCCAGCGGTCCTGGTCGAGCGACGGATCCGGAGGAAAAAGCCTTCCCGGTTGCGCCCGGTGACAGCGACTGGTTGTCGGCCAGGGGCTGTGCTGCGGCCGCGGATGCCGGTGGAGATCCGCTGTGGACTGCGGCGATGATGCAGATGACCGCTCCGATAAATGCCACCATCCCGGCGGCCAAAATTACAACGATGAACTTCAGGGTGGCGGTTAAAAAATCAGTAATGGAAAGAAACAAAAAGATAACAGGGATATTTAGACCTTAAGAATGAATTAATTTCATCAATAAATTCTTCAAACCACGACTCAATGTCAACAGCTTTTCTTCTGTAGGCTACCCTAATGTGTCCACCGGCAGAACGCGTCTCTCTATATCTCCATCTCGGTATTACCGAGGGGACAACAAGAGGTGGGGGTTTAGCTTACACATCATCAGGGGTGGGCTGCACATGCGAGGGAGGTGGAGACAACATCAACCTCATGCTCGACCAATGTGAGCTACATTTCATATCGTCTGAAAAATAGGATGCAATAGGCTATAGCCCGGGGAGCTGCGTCTAAACTTATCATATAGGAATATGCTATTTCATATTTTAATACAATGTATAAACATTTTGAATTATATAAAAAATCGATCTATCATAAAATAGCCCAGACTGCATCTATTGTAAAATCTTTTTTTTTTTAAATTAAGAATTCAATAAATGCAAGAAATAAGACCTATCATTACAGTATGCAAAAAAAAATACAGTGATGTCATCTATGTAGCCAGTTTTTTATGTTTACTTTAGTTTACTTTATGGCGAACGTCACATGAACAAACAAAGCAGGTCTTATTGCATCGAAGAAAAACTGCGCCTGAAATCTCTTACTCTCTTGAGCAAGTATAGGCTTACTTTAATAGTAAATACATCACGACTGCTTCAAAATTAGGCCCTATACGTTCTATACAGCGCATAACTGACGTCTTGGGACGTCTTTTGATACGTCAATATCCGCCTTTTTAGGCCCCCCTTAAACGTCGGTAGATGACGATCCCGGCCGTCATACAACTGATGCTTTACCTTTAACGTCAGTTAGGTGACGGGGTAGGTTTAGAATTAGGTTTAGGTCTGGGGTAGTTATGATCCAATAACGTCATCTACCGACGTTTAAGGGGGCCCTAAAAAGGCGGATATTGACGTATGGTCAAAAGACGTCCCAAGACGTCAGTTATATGACGTCTTGGGATGAGACTGTGTTATTCTATACACTGGCTGCTTCTCATTTCTTTTTTGTGCATCCTCGTTACCTTTCCTCGAATCTCAGCTCCACCCCCAGGATGCGAGGGAAGGCTGCAAGGAAAGAAAATGAGGACGGAGGAATCAAATGAAAGCTTTTTATACATTGATTGGAATACTTGATCACTCGAGCGTCACTTAGCGTCAGTAGCGCTCAAAGGATCAGCCCAATTGCGTTGTTGAAGTCTGGTTAGGCCTATTTAAGAAATTCATGATTTCCATTACACAAGAGTATTTGTTAAACTTCATGCTGATTTGTACTCGGCTTTCGCGAAGCGAAGATAAGCATAAACTAAGACGTAGCTTTACAGTAACATGCTTCTCCGTCGATTTACGCTTCTTTCCATTTGGTGATGTGAATCCCCTTCTGTCCTGCAGTGTAGCCTACTTGGCGCATCAGCACACGACGGCTGCAACTACAGTGTGGTCTCCCCAGTGGACCAGCACGACAACCGTCTGGATTGAGCCGAGTAGGGGACATCTCTAGGGTCTTCAAGTGGGCACCTTCCGTCCTCATAAATAATAACAAAGCAAGATACCTTCTTGAGATGTGTGGTTTATATAAACTGCAAAGGTAAAGTAAAAATTGAAATTATTGTGACCGATGTGAAGGGGAATGAGAATTTATACATGTGTCACGTTTAGCTGATAAACACTTCGGCATATACACACCTCGCTCATGACTCCTCAGGAAGCCTCCTCACTCCTCGATCCTCGAGTAAGTCATCATGGAATTAGCAGCGGCAGCCAAGCTCTCTGCAGCCTCTGCACTCTTCAGAGCTCAAATCCTACTCTTATCATAAAAAGGTGGTGGACCACTATGAAAACCCAAGAATGTGGGCACTGGTTTGGTAGGCGCTCCTGCATGCAATTTGTCAACAGTGAATGATTCCTGAAAGCTTGCAAATGAAAATGATCAGAAGAGACAAAAAGCACGGTTCCTTTGATGCTTGCTCCTAATCTCTGGAGGAACAGACCTTTTGGTTTTCAAGTATCTGTTGGTCTTTTATAAGTGGTTCAAGAATTTTATCGTAGCCAAATATTTTTATATCATTACTGTTGCACAGCACAGTATACTGTAGACTGCAAAGACGAGCTATATTTTATACGCAAATTACATTTTTATTTCTAGAAGTAGGCCTACCTAAAGGATTGCATGTTTCAAAGTAATCTATGTACACACATGTGGTGATGTAATGAAACTACAGGTTTAGGTGGATGAGAATGTAAAGATAACAGACGGAAGATTCAAAACATTTAGATGTGGCTCAGGTCAAACTACATTGCTCCATACTTTCAGAAGATGCTATTAAGGCTGCATTAGCAGACTACAGGCTCAAACAAGGATAATAAGGAAAAGGCTTGAAAAATGGTGGAAAAACTCAGAAAAATGGTGTAGTTTATTTCCTGACCGAGGTTGCAATGAAGATAATAGCCAGTGTCCATATGTGCACTGCCTTAGCGTTTCTGGTTTGAAGTGGTTTGTATTGACAGACTTTGGGGATCTTTGGATTAATGTTTGTTTTCTGTATCTCTCTGAGGTCACAGGAGGAGAGAGGAGAGGAGGAGGGATATTGAAAAGCACCTAGTATGAATGTAATCCGGATGTTGTACATTCGCTATTATGTCACTCTCACATGACCTACCAGCGTCAGCTGCGTCACTTCACTGCCATTCACAAATCCTCTCCCGTGGCCTCATGGGATAGTAAAGTGGCCATCGTATGCGCACTTCAGAATCTCTGCGAAAGTTAGGCCATCTGGATACTTTTTGCTTAAGTTACTCTTTATTAATAAAGTGAATTCGGTAACACAGTCTCATCCCAAAAAGTCATATAACTGACGTTTTGGGACGTATTTTGACCATACGTCAATATCCGCCTTTTTAGGGCCCCCTTAAACGTCGCTAGATGGCGATCCCGGGCCGTCATACAACTGACGCTTTACCTTTAACGTCAGGTAGGTGACGGGTTAGGTTTAGGGTTAGGTTTAGGTATGGGGTAGAGTTAGGATCCCATAACCTCATCTACCGACGTTTAAGGGGGCCCTAAAAAGGCGAATATTGACGTATGGTCAAAAGACGTCCCAAAACGTCAGTTATATGACGTCTTGGGATGAGACCGGGTTGAATTCGGACATACTTCTTTTGTCATATAGCCTACTGTTTTGGACCAAGTACTTCCCTTATAGACCTTATGCACCAGAGAAAAAAGGACACCACCATCTTTAGAATATTGTCAGTTTTTGCAGCCGCACTGGCTTCGCTGTCCAGGAGTAATTAGCTTTTGAAGTGGAATTACTTAATGTAAAGTTAACGGAAGTTATCATGAGGATTGTAATGTTTAAAGTAAATCTCTTAACAAATGTCAGTATACCGGGAAGATTTTAAAACGAGCCGTTCATTCATGAATAGGCAAGTTCGCTGTGAAAAAACAGACCAGAAGACAAAAGAAAACGAGCAGAGCGCTAAAAAGGGGGCAGAGGTCTATATAGACTAAACGCCAATTAACCTAGCTAGTTCTTTTTATTGTTGATGTTTTAGTCAACAATTGGGCGGCTCAGACCCCGCCCAAATCGGCACGTGACTCCTCACTCTCAATACCAGTTTGTTGTGCAAAACTCCCATAGCAATCACTCTTACAATGTACGTCAATATCAGATTTTCAAACTATCATTTCTTAAAAGTTTATAAAAAAAAAATAGATGTCACACTTAAGACTTTAGTTACCCACAAAACAAAGTTTGAAAAGGGTCTTTAACTGGTTTGAACTGAAAAGAAAAAGAATAAAATGAAGAATTTGCTTGCAAGTCAACTTTAAATGTGAAATTAAAGTGTATAAATGTCTTGATTTTGACTTTCTATCATCAACGGGCTAGTACAAATTTTATAGGCTAGTAAAAACAAGTTGTGGCAACAAATTTGCACGCCTCTTCCTGCCATTATGAGCATCCCGTACAGGTGAGTCAAAACCTTGGAATCCCTCTGATCCCATTCTGTCCCCAGTGAAGTGTGAAATCAGCGAGCACAGGGGAGATTAGTGTCCTGGATACACATGACCTTATCATTTCACAGCAACAGTCTACGGAGTCTCCCTTTTAAGTGTAATCCACCTCCACACACGCTTACACTCATACACCACGCGTGAGGAGGGTGAGAAAATCGTGCCTAAAAGAACCCAGGCCAACGCCAGAAGATTTAACACAGATTTATATCAACTAATCCCTAACAATCATGTTTTATGTGAGAATTTTTGTATTTCTAGAGGCTTTAGGTTATGTCAAACTTTAAGTAGCCTAAGAAATGGTGGATGGTGACTTCAATTTAGTTGTTTTTGCTTAGCTTAAAAAAAGCTTTTTTTATATTAAAACCTCCTTGATGGTGGCATTGCATAATGAAGCAGCATCAAATGAACAGGAAATTTCTATGTGTATGAATTCATTCAGACATAATCAAAAAAAAAATAAATAAATCTGGTCACCCTCTCCTCTCGCTGCTGCCACCGCCACCATAATTGTAATGTTTGGAAGATAATGAATTCTCACACACCACCAAATATTCCCTGTTCCGTCACTTATAACATTAGCCATAATCATCTGTAAACTTTATTTGTGAATTCATAGTAAGTCAAGACATTGACACTCTTGAGATTTATTGGTCACAAGTAGGCTACAGCCTTATGGTCAGGCCTGATTTTAATTCGTTTTGTTCAACCGAGCTTGTGCCAGTTTTTAAAGTCGTGACTTATCATCAACCAGAAGTTGCGATAGGGTAGTTGTGAAAAGGTAGGGTGGGACTTGATTTTGTCTATAGACCATTTCACAAGATGTAAACAACACTGGTCCAGAAGCACTTCCTGTTTCAGTTTTTTAACACTACATAAAAGCTGGGATAAAATACAACCAACAGAACATTTAAAACTGAATCAAAAAGTTAAACAAACATCTTTAAGATGTTTTCTTTACATGTGAAATAAAGAAAAGT